GATCGATGCCACGATTCTCTCACGAAAATAAGGCTGTTTGCATAAAATCAAATCCATGACGAAGTTAAATAGAAAACGAGAGAACGGGAACCCTGACGAACACCACTTTCTGTAGTGAACTCGGGCGAAAAAGTGTCGTAAGCTCGGATTCTGCTTCGGCTGTTGGTCTAAAGAGATTGCGAAATTGAAATTAAATTCTCGGACGCAACCTTCAGAAAGAGATATCGCCAGAGTTTAGAACGGTCGATTGAGTCGGAGGCCGCTTGCATATCAAGGAGGACAGAGATGGTGCCTCCACGGAAAGACTGTCAGTGCTCCAGAATTTGGCGAGGAGTGAAGATGTGGTTGATACAACCTCGACCAGGTCTAAAATCAGCCCGGTTCTCATTTTACACCTTTAACGCGCGGCAGGCGATCGATGGAGAAGCTTGCAGACTACAGTGATCACACTAAGTCCCATGTGGTTTTCACATGAGGATCGATCACCTTTCTTGTAAATGGGTAAGATGACCGATTCGCACCGTTCTGTTCCCTCTCTCATACTGTTCTCAGGAGTTTCGTTCACTCCCAAACCACCGCTGACCTTCCAATTTTAAAAGCCGATGGGAACAACCCATCGGGACCGCAGACCTTAGGTCTTTTGAGATAACGTATTTCCTGGGAAAAGTCCTCATATGTATATTTAATGCACACCACTCAATGACCGATATTTCTTTGGAGTTTGTCATCATGAAGCGAAACATCAGTTTCATTCGGTCGACAAATTTACTATATTCTCTTCATGCGAGATCTGTCTGAAACTGCTGGCTCTTTCAATGTCACGTTGGTTTTGACCCTATTGTAGATATCCACATTGATTTTCCTCCTTGTCACATTATTGTTTTTCAACCAAATGAACCCAAATGGATTTACTGTACCATGAGTACAAGGTGAATTGATAAGGATCGACCAGATTCCCTTTCCTCATGAAACGGCATTTGCCTCTAGTGTTCAAACGTTTCATTTAAGCCTTTTCAAGCATCGTCCGTCGTACTCCATGCATAGAACGAATCCACGTTTAATTGGATTTGACGAGGTTGCTGCGTGTTATAGTCATATCACACACATATAGGTGCGTAAACAGTTATAGAGTGAACAATTAGCTCTTCAATCCTATTTGACTACGAATTGTGACCAGATTGTCCTAGGATTAAGGGACCAGTTTTGAGTTATTTTGTATTTGAAAAAATGTGATTGCATATCGAGCGCGTTTTTACAATAATGCGGATTTCATAGGCAGTCCCCGGTAGAGGTGGCTGCTGCTCATCCAAATCTTCCAATATGCGTAGCGCGCAAATCAGAATAGAAGCGTGGTCGTTCTTTGAACGTTATTTTACAGGAAACTTCCTCCTTATTTGATCCGACAAATGTTGGTCCGGGACCGATTCGACAAGATGACGAGTTGAAGTGATACACGACGTTTAGTCAGTCAACTAACCAAAGCTGAGTAAATTCTGTTTGCTGCTTATTCAATGGTTATGATTTATACTAATGTAATGAGTAGTTCTATAAACGAAAACCTCACTCTTTAGGACTTACCTGTCGGAAAACACATTGGTGGTCTATACCACAGAATGGTAATTCACAGGGGTCCCGTTTTTACGGTATGGCTGTTTTATTGAACTACGGGACAAGAAAACTGACTCTCGCCGAGTGGGCATGGTGCTTACGGGCTACGTATAGCGTGCTTTGTGGACTGAAGGTGCAACCTTCACAGTAAGTTAGGACGATAGTCTCTCCCAACGTGTCAACATTGACTTAACATTGCTCCTTCCTGAAAAGATGAGTGTACTGTGATTATGTGTGATTGCGCTCACTATTGTATGATGCTTTCGACCCTACCTCCAGAGTTGTTTGTATGCTCCAACGCGAAGTTCGATTGTGATAAGAACTATTTATGGACTTTGTATACAAAACATGTTTGCGTTTTTCGTCCCCTTGTTTATCCACTGTTCTAGATATTTTGACTACTCCGATCATTTCATGGTTTTTGTTCATTTAATTTTGACCAGTATCGATCACGTGAGTATTTTGTTCGATTTTCATCTGTTCACACATACACACAGTGCTATTTATCTCACTTCCGTTCTGCAACCTGTTTACTTCTCTTATCTCATAACCGTTTGTGTGTGTGTGTATTTGCGCCTATATGTGACCCCATTTTGTTGTGGTAGTGAATCTCACCCAGCCAATCGCTTAACTATGACCAATCCGGATTTATTCGTCCGTATTTGACAAACTGCAGATTGTGGCTATGGTCATTTGTCGTGTTACGTGGTTGTATGTTTTCGGTGTTTTGTGGTCGCATGTTTTCGGTGTTTTGTCGACAACACTTTAGCGCGGTCACGGAACTTTTGATCGTTCGTGTGATTCAACTCAGTCAGATGCATGCGTCCTCAAATGTCCGAGATATCTAGCCTTCACTAGCAATAACTAAAAATAAACGTCTTCATTTATTTTATAAGCGCTTGTTAACTCAAATCGAAGGGAGGCGTTTTACTTGAGGGATGAGTGATTGAATGGTTAGATAGTTATTCGTCGGACCACGTCAAGTGTTCGCGGATACTGTCGTTGTACTGTTTTATTATCAACGAATGAGTACTGAATATTTTTCGAATGTTAGAGAAAAAAAATTAGTACCAATGAGTACAGAACGTTCCGTAAATAGTGACTTCTTACGATCGCGCGACATTAGACATTTTAGACTTATGCACTGGCCCATTTTCGTGCCACCGACCGACTGCTGTTTCATGACCGGCTCGTGTACAAATGATTACCCGGTGCATGCACGTGCAGTGTCTGATGACCAACGTTGGTCATGAGCGTTTAGAAAATCGGTGTCGAAGGCACAACCACCCGACCATTAGTTACGGAGCATACTATATTCAGTCATGTTGAGAACTGGAATGTTCCACAATGTACGGGTGATTTCTATGGCTATCGGATAGTCTTTACTCGTGGCTGAAAACCTAGTGATCGTAAACCTAATATAAGTAGAATGCTCATGCTCTATTCCTGTTGAGTTACTGAAACGATAATTTTAATGCATCGCATCTCAATTCTTTTGTTGTCATATGCTCTCTTGTCCTGCTTCGACAGTTCACTTCAAATCAAGTATTGCTGAAAAAGAGGTTTATTGCCTCGGAAAAGGGCGAACAATAACCGTGTCATGTGCAACGCTGTGTCTATGATAACGGAAAACAAGTTATTTGATTGCAAAGACAGGAATAATGCTTGTGCGTTTGTATCTGGTTATTTCAACACGCTTTGTGCCATGCGTGCGGGTAAACCTTACAGTCTGAATAAATCTGACAAATGCCATGGCAAATCTTGGTTCCGCAAGAGTATATGTAAGAGATTGGCTCGGTTGGTCTAATGCATCACACAGCTTCGTTGTTCTAAATTATCACGGTCGAAAAGAATAGGGTTTTGAGGTTAGACAATACTCCGTGCTAGAAGTGTTGTTGATCTAGCCTGTCTACAAAACGTGTGCAGACAACCCTTCTGGCTCAGTGAATAACAGCATCTGCATCCTAAGCTGTAGTTATTTAACATATCCAATCCAAGGTTTTCTCAATATGCGATTGGTGACGATTATAAAAAATATATGATTATCATGTATATTTCATTTTCGGTTTCTCTAATGAATTTCTTTACTGACACGTAAAAATGTCAACGAATGAATTAAATTTTAAACGGGTTTCGAATTCAAATATCTGTGTTCCAGTTCTCCTCGTCTTTTCTAAGCATTCCACACATGTCTCAGTGCCAAACAAATCGCGGTGCCATAATCTTTATAAAATTTCCATGATGTGCTCACGACGGATATACTGCCAGGTTGTCCAGGCTAAAGTAGCTGCACTTTCTTTGAGACCACACGCCCAATGGACTGGATCAAACATCCAAAGTGCTCAATACACCTCGATACCCAATCGAGCTGGTGACTACTGCTACAACAAGGAAAGCGTGGGTGTGTGGTTCGTACACCTCTTCATGATACCTTTGTAATCAGAGCTTTTAGCTAATCCCTGGGGTGAACAACCTGTGGTTCACGAATCCGGTTATAGCCCCCAATGTTGTCCTTTCGTTCTCTCGCTTTGATGGAAAAAGGTATCTGCCACATAAAGGCATCGAGTAGGGCTTCCTCATCAGAATTTATTTGAGATGCTTGGTCGAATCGGAGTATTTGGCCAAGTTCAAGGGAAGGGTGAACTTCGATGAATCAATACACACACTCTAACATACTGAGGCGTTTGGAGTCTTGCTTGTCGTACAGTTTAATTTATCGGGCATCATCGAAACTAGTCACTGTTGTGAGCACTACTAATCCCCTATCCTTAAATCTGCTCATTCTGTGTGTATGCCAAAACGTGTCAAAGCAAGTGGAGGGAAACTTTCTGCTTGTGGTCAAGGTTTGCTGGTTTTTGTATTAATCCACAAGATACACTTATAAAAATATGGATTACTACTTCCGAACAATAGTTTCGGTTGTCGGTAAAGATAAAGATAAAAAACAATCTCACCGAAGAAAAAATAAATCTCCAGCATGAATTAGGACTTTTATTTTTGTTATCTGAACCCATGCCAAAACCTAGCAATAGTCCGCACACTAGCAAATGATGGCCCTTTTGATTTGCCGTAAACAGTACTGTCGCGTGATTTGTTTTCACACAGTTTAACACTTTTGAAATGCAGTAATATATGTGTAGATAAAATAGTGCCTATATCAGTTCCATAACTTTTAAACCAATTCCGAGTTTTTTTCACTCCATCTGAATCACCCGTGTATTTTCAAACAAACTATCGGTCTTTGCTCCCTGTCCCTAATCACAAACGATGCTATGAATCTCGTTTACCGTTATGTCTATTGATGCTCAGTTCAAGCCGACTTTTAAGTATTACATTTCACATTGAAAGGGAGTATCGTTTTTGTGAGGTAGCTATTCTATGCTGTTGGACTTCGCACTTTATGAGTATTCACAAACATTCAAGATTGTTCCAAACCAGTCGTACTGTTGCGCCCACTTGAGCTTGTAATTCCAGTAGCCGTATCACAGAAAACAAAATTTGCGCCCTAGAACGAACAAGTTTGAACTTTGCGATGACGAGCATTCCGGAACTGGAACGAGCAAACTGCAACCGCATAACAGTGCATGATCTTTTTGATGAACCACAATCAATGCAAATGTGTAATAGAATTACAAAAGTTTACATGATTTATAAAGAAACAATACGAAACTGTATAGAATAAAGGAGGTATAGTTTGACTCATATTTGTCCAAGCAGAACGTAGGGAACAGTTGAACAAAATATGGGCCACATTCAACCGAAATGACCAAGTAATACGTCCGGGTCAAATGTCGAAAGCGTTATATTATATGATATAAACAACCATAAAGTTTGCAGGTACATAAGGGTTGAAATGACAAGGACCAAGCAGTTATAACTGCTTGGAATGAGACAAAATCTTTTACTTTGAATTCCCATGCATTGGCTGCTGCATCACGCACATAGTCCAGGCCGAGGTATGTTCCATGGTCTTTTCGTGCATAATCAGGCCGTTTAGTGATGCAAGCCATTATTTAAGCGATTCGTTTAAAATAAATGGGTTTACATTTTTCGGTTTGTCTCGTGCTGAGTTTGTTTCTACGGGCCTACTAAAAACTGTTATTCGATCTGATCCCTGATTCGGTTCTCCTCGGGATTTGCTTGTCTAAATGTTCGACAGCAATTGTGTCTGATGGTTCGCAAATTGTTGACGTGTATTTTACCGACCATCGCCTGGTGTTGAGCGGTCTTTCAAACCAGAGGATCGTATTATCGCGTTGACATGCGTGGTGTGTCTTGTCATTTGGAAGCTAAAACCCTGCATTTAAAAGACATTATTTTAGGAATATATACGGCTTCTTGAAATACTCTGCTTGTAATCGGAACTGGCCTATGTGTTCAAAAACAAACACAGTTTGCATTGTTTTCTTGGCTAGCCCAGTGCCTATCACTATCAACACTTGTGCATTTTCCTCGGTTCCTCCATGATCTTCGTTGCGCTGCGAACGTTTGAATATGTGTCGAGTGCGGCCATATTCCAATGGTACATGCCTCTGAAACTTTTTTGGTTTCCTAACATCGCCTTGATTTTGTTATGTTGTAACTTCTTTCTTTCCTTATCGTGGAGCTGTGATTCATAATAATTGGTTGCTTTTCAATAGAAAAGCAAATAATTCCTCACAATTGTATGTTGTGTTTTATAGAGTTGTACGGAAATGAATTTACATGACTCTTCACCGTCGACACATCTGGACATGTTCCCGTCGTTACCATTAACACCACAACAAGTGACTGCTTATTGTCAACAGCGCTGGGGTGTGACACCGGCGTTCCAGCAATTGGTCACGCTGTTCAGTCCAGACGGTAAGTGATAAAGAAACCAGTGTTCTCTCATGCGCCTGTTCCTCTAATGGCATGGTTTTAGGCCACCGAGGTTGCCCACTGGAACTAGTGGTCGACCTCCATAGATTACATTGGTTAAAGCATGCATTACGCATGTCACTAAATAGGTTGCCACGGCGAGCGACGTTTGCCGAGGCAGGTAGTGGGTGAAATAAAGCCCACGGTGGTTAAGCTAAGACCTGGAACGAGGGAATGAAAACCCTAACCAGGAGTCTGAGTCACATAGATCCTGTTAGGCTCCCTGACTGGGGACCTCGGGATAGTCGTAACCGATAGTTAGAGACACTGAATGATGTGGCTGGGTGTCGTAAACGGTGGCGTTTGTACATCTGAATTTCTCTGTATCATTAGTCCCCTGAACTTTTCAATGTTCTCGTCGATTCTACTTTCAACCTTCTTGTTTTTCTCCTATTGGTCACCAAAATGGGCAGCCAAAAGACAGCAACCATAAGCGTTGCGCGGAAATGCATGCTTAGTGGTTGTTTAAACTGAAATGAACTGGTATTGTTCTCAATTATCATTTCGTAAACAGTAGAACGCTCATGCATATGCTCAATTAATTTCGAGTCAGTTATCATCAAGAGACGGTTTCCTACTGCGTTAAAAAAACTGGATCGATACAACCTTTTATCAATCAATTACCCTTGGTAAGTTTGAAGTCCAACTATCACTCTGAAAATACCTGAGGAATAAATTTAAAACAAATGCGTTAAACTTCAGCAATAGGTTTGACGCTAGGCTGTTAGACGCATTTTCACCTCATGCTATGCCGTGGGGAAGGGGGCTGAGAACGACAACGGCCACGGCAATATGATTTCTGCTTAAAATCAAAGTGTGCGCCTGCCGGGGGCTCAAAGTGATATAGTAATAAAAATAATAGTGACAGTGATCTATGTGCTTGCTGTTTCGTGCGGTGCAATATGATGTTATTCGGGATTCGACATCGGATTGTTAGATTTTCTTGACACACTGCGAGAGGAACTCAGATACGAATAAAACGAGGTTGCTTAGAGAACGCCAACGAATGCACAAATAATAATTTGACAATTCAGTTCAGGTGCTTATGTTTATAACCACTAGAGCTCCTAGTTGGGAAGGTAATCTGTGTCCAGCGGGGCCGTTTATTGCCAACCAAATCGCTTAGTCCAGATAATCTTGTCCGAAATTTGCAATAAAACAGTCGCGAACTTTAAAACTGACGAATTTCATGGTGAGAGGGAATCGCGAAATTTCGTCATATCGCCTGAATTAATCAATTCACCTTAACGATTAGTAAGCTGTTGGTAACAAAATTGCAGCCATATTCTATATACTATTCGTCGGCATCCACTGAGGCTGGTGACTATTGCCATAACAGGGAAGGTGTGTGTGGTTTGTAAACCTCTTCGAGGTTCTTTTGGAATCAGTGTCTTTGCCCATTTGTATCCATCACCACCATAGCTGGTAGCATAAACATTACAATTTAGAAATCCACTGGTAAGCTTGCAAACTATGCAGTAAGAAGACTTTTTTCAATAACGACTCAAATTCCCACTGGATCTTGTCCGTCTAACCCCGTCCCTACTTATTCGATGATTCCATCCGACATGAGCAATACTTTGGGTAAGGAGAATACATTTTAATCAAACATTGATACTATTTGCATACTTATGCATTTTCTGTTTAATTTAGAAAGATTAATCGACGGTATCGCATAACGAAGTCCAAGTTTTGTCCAACAAATCAAATCATGAGAGGCGAATTGATTTGAATGTTCAATAGCTAGTGCGATATATTTATATGTTTGCCACAAGAACAGAGGTTTCATTTAGTCTAGTTGTGTTTATCCATCTTCCAAGATTTGCATCATCCCGTCTCATGATGGTAATTTACTTTCTTTCTAATTTTAGTTTGGAAATTCACGAGCAATATTATCTTCTCCAACGGGAATTTGGATCCTTGGGCTGAAGGGGGCGTAAGTGTCCACGAACATTGACCTCTTGGTCATTTATTTCGAACATGAACTCACTGCATTACTGAATTGCACAACACACTTCCCACCGATTTGCGTCAAACTTTTTTCGATTTCCGTTTAGGATGAACCTTCTCCCCAACAATTTTTTTGTTGTAATGTTTTAGCAGTTCACTTCGTTTTTCAGAGCTCTGGTCCATACCTAGTTAGTCATGGACCCATCAGGTGTATGAAGAGTTGCGACTTGAACACGTGTTGCGTTGATGCATTCAAACCGAAGGTCACTGCTATTTTATCAGCAGCGGAACGAATGAGATCGAGACCTTATTATCTGACTGTCCGGGACCGTATGCGTTCATAATCCCCGACACCATCCAAGATAGAAAACGTATCTATGATGTTCAGCTGTCGTCGAACATCACCTGCGGAGGAAACATTTTCATTAAAATATCGCAAAGACACGCTCTTTGTACAGTCTGTTTTTTTTCAGATAAGCTGACAATATTTATCACAGATATAATCCTGTCTGTCTTTTTTTAAAGTTACTTGTATTTACTATGGATCCCCTAATTTTAAGATGAAGATCGAAGGTTACACGGTTACATAAAACAGCACGATTAATTGACAGCATTGGCAGGATTCAAGCACTTGTTTACGGCGAACTTTGCTGCCTGGCCATCGCTGCCCTAAGTCGTTCATCTCTTGCCTTGTATAGCGCCTTTTTTTTTCTCTCGCTCTCCCATGACAACCAATGTAACATGTTTGATATCAGACTTTCTGAATTCTACACCCCGTTTGCCCATCTTAAATCGTTCACTATCGAAATCCGTTAAACGAATTATTACAATCACACCCTGTAAATCCGTTTTTATATTCTCAGTTCCGGAAAATATAACAGATCATACGATTATTCTTTTAGGTACCTGTTCCCCTTACCTACAAACCAGCTCTTTCTCTCTTGTTATACTTACTCAACTATATGGAAGATATATGCGATGGAATGGGCTGATTCTTATTGTCTGTATCGGACAAACACAATAACTAGTATACATCACATTAGAAGGAATACTGTGGTATCTCACTATTCATGATGAAGCATATGAAATGGCCCGTTTTATTTCATTTAGTCATAAGCTAATCATTAATTTCCCCTCGGGTCGATCTCCGAATCTGTCGTGGTTGGATAAATAACTTAAAACTGTCATTTTCATGGATATGGGAGTTCAAAATGATAAATTTCAATCCTTCCTGAAAGTTTTCTAGCTTGGCCCAACTGTGTTTTTTTCCACTTCAGACGAGAAGTGACAAGGTCCATTTGAGCAGCGTCATATCAGTCATCTCTCTTGTGAGGAATGCTGCACCGAGAAGCTTGAAAGATATTCTTTCTTCAAATTGGCCGCATGTGGTTTCTTTGTGATGTATGGTTGTACTCAATGTTTTTCTGTGCGTCTATGTTTTCTTGAATGTTTCCTGATTCCTCTCTTTCTCCGATTCATTCAGATTCTGAAGGACTTGTCCGATTCGGTTGTGGCTTTCAACATCCACGGTGGGGCGCATCATTTAGATTTACGGTGAGCGGCTGTCACTGTGACCTTGATGTTTGCTTGCCGTGCATAACCGTACTATTGATTCCTTCAATCTTGGGACTACTCGATAAGCTGAGATTGGAAATGGTCCGGATTGAAGGATGATAGTGAAGTGTAGGGAAGAGAACCAAAGTGAAGAGTTGATCTCCTACAAAACACTTTGTTGATGTAAATACTAATATACAGTCCTAATCTAGAAGTCGCTTTTAATGAGCATGATTTGTAGAATAATCTGATGTTGGAGCTGTGTCTGACGGTTGGTTACCCTTCTATCTGGGATAAGTATACTTTTTCTACTCATCTGATTGCACGCATCTTTGTACCACCGACTGCAAAAGTGGGCTGAACTAAAATAAATCAATCAGTCAAAATGACAGTTTTTTTACCATCAAGGCATTTTGAGTGCTTGTGGTTTCACATGTGACTCATATGAACTGCGGCTTTCATTGCGTCACCAGTGTGATCGATCCTACCCTTTAGATGTCGGGGTTCTTCTCGGAATAAATACTGATGCAGTCCAGTCGGTAGTTCCTGAAATGAAATTAGCCGAAGGCATTCGATACCATTTATTAGGATGCCTGTCAACTAGCTGAGAGAAACATTGATTTTTACGTTGTTGTCCCTCATTCGTCAAATAGCGATAGTGCTTGAGTTTTACAATGAGGAATAAAAAAAGTAGAGCCTGAAGTTGTAATACCAAAGCAAACGTGGTTTACTTTTGACGAAATAAAAGAGCCCATCACAGAACAAATAATCCGCGATGTGTGGTTTTAGTGGTTTAATTATCAAGGTGTGACGAGAACTGTTCTCACAGTTAAGAAATAAGTTTCATAAAAACTCTTCATAAACTTCTCCATAAACTCTTCATCTTTGTGAAGACGTTTGACTACTGACAAGCATAAATGTAGTCAATTGCGGAAAACTACTTGCACTACAGTCAATGCGGCATTGTTCACTTCATAAGTCGTGCTAAGGTTTGGAGGTACATTATGTTGCACTTCAAACATAATACATCATGGTGGATGCACTGTTGGTTCATCTCCCTGGTCTGTCATCTTCCAAGGACAAAAGTATCAATATTTTCGGCTACTCTAGTGGTAAATCCTATGATAGTTTTAAACCCTGTTCGTCCAGGTTGATTTTCTTTTCCCGTTTTAATAGTATTATGTCCACTTAACGCTTTTATTCTAATAAGAAACGGGCTTCGGCTTGACGGGTTATGGGTATTGTTGATAGTTTCACCTGTCACCTAAGTAACTTGCTGTCATGACCCAGTGGAGCAGATTTTCTGACAGTGGAACGCAGTATGCACGAAGTAGACAAACAATACTACCGATCGCGGTGATGTGTTCCGATCAAATTAGATGTAAAGTGCCCATCAGTGGCCTCTGAAAATTGAAAAAGAATCCCTGGCTTTGGCTTATGCGTTTAACCTCCAATTCCATAGTCATACCTCATAATTGCAACCTGTCCTTGCATTAAATGTTTCAAGTTAAACAGTATGAGGGAACCCGGAGAAAGTGCTATGGATAGGATACTATATAAAATGAACTGATGAGCAGCCCTCACGACCTGCCATATTGAGACCACAGGAACTGGAAAAAACATCAATGCGATGGAAATGTTTATGATGATCAACAAAAGTACTGAACAGCTGTTTCGTCCTGTTTGGGACTGACCAGCGGTGCGTACTTTTTGTGTCCCGCGATTCTTCGGGTTGAGACTTCAAACCTTTGCCCTTGAGCTACACGATCGACGGCTATCACTTTGTGCGAATGGCTCAATCAATTTAGATGGTGAATGTTTGGATCAGCCTATTCGGGTCTTCACAGGCACCGGGAACTGTTGATATGATCTCCCACAGAGTGAAACCCATAACCAACTATGAGAAAATAAATCTGTGCGCAAAAAATGTTTCCGTCGGTTCCTAATATTAGTTGTGATGGAAATGTGTCTCGTTCAGTATTGAAAAGAAATTCAGCTTCAACGAAACCGGTTTGACTTGGGTAACAAAAAACTGACGAGTAGAAATTTTTACTTTCGGGGATTTTACATACCTAACTATTTTACAATACCCTCAGATGATTATTATATTTCTAGCATGATAATATTTATTGCGAATTACTAGGATGGCATGAAGCGTCTTCCACGGAAATATTGATGTATGCATTGAATACATGCAAATCGTCAAGTTAGGAACTGTCTATCCCTGTCAACCAATAAAACAGCCAGTTGGAATTTATAAGTGAAGGACAAGTATTGCTAATCGTCTTTAAGTGGGTAAGATTCTAAGGAAGATTTTAGGTGGCATCGTCTAGCGAAAAGATTTATGATTACTCTCATCCTTGTCAGGAATCAAGATCTAGAGGTGAGTGGAATCGCTCACCCTTAAACTTAGTATGGATGTTCAGTTTATTTGTATTTTTGCCGGTGTTTGTGTTTATGGTAATGGCTGTACCGTACATTGTTCGTCGTTTTATACGCACTCTTCTCCCCAGGCTGTCTGATAAGAATGATCCTCCGTCTGTGCGTGAAGTCCGGGATGAAGAACGCCGTCTGATCCAGCATTGGATACAGACGGCAGAACTGTGACTCTGATACGGATCGAAGATTTCAATCAGCAGTTCGTGGACTTTTTTAAATCTAATCACCAATGAGCTATTGCTTTTGCTCTTCGTGTTCACGATTATTTCTACTCCTTTCCTGTGACATACTGTTTTGGTTGTTATCTGTTCCCAACCGAGTACACCTTTTGTACTGTTTCTGGTAAAACGTTTTGATTTTTGTAATTTTATTGGTGAATTGATTTGTGACGAAAAAGATGCCTCTGAATATTCCAATAGTTACTCAAGAGCCCGGTTATCAATGTTATTGATATGCCCTGTCGCTAAGGTTTTTCCTTTGGTTCTTACCATAGGGTCTCGCTCTTGATATTGTTGGGGTCTTGATTCAATCCTAATCACTTTTCGATTTCAACCTTAATGAGGTCGACACAGAAGCTGCATACTGCTAGGGCGCTGATAGGGGAATAGTTACCAATTTTGTGGCTAGCCGTGTATAACGCGTACTCAGTCTCATTTAGTTAGAGGGTGCGGAGGAGTAGTGGGACTACCCGAGGACGTCATGGGTTTTGCTTTCTCCGTGTAACAATTTAGATTCCGGGGATAACAATATGGAGTGATTGTATCTTGTCACTGGATGCGGTAACGGCCACTTTACACGCCTACGAAAAGTTAACTTCTTGCTGAGACATAAAAATTAAAATTCTTATCCACCGACTCTACGTTCCACACTGTGAATGTGGGCCCACAAATCTGAATCAGTCAAGCATGTATGAACTGGAATACCACCTCCCAAAGAGTGCGTATCCATTGTTTTTATCTGTAATGGGTGTTTTTGCCTCGCTGCAAGTCCTCTGAATGCAAGCTGGACAGTTGGATGGAACTCACGCGTCGCGCACCAACCCTGCTTTGGCAACTATTCTTTTTCATAAATGTGTCTTTTTTACTTCTTTTTTTATTCATGGAATATACAAATGCACAGTCAAATTTCAGGAAGGGGGCCGCGGCAATACAAGGGATGCTTGGAAAGAAACAGAAATGGGAGAGACGGGCAGCGGTGGAGCGGTTCGAACCCACGACAATTTAGTGATTTAATCACCCTACTGCCCTCCCTTGCTAATTCACCTTTATTTAAAAATAAGTAGGGTAATTATGAGTTCAATGGTTAGTTGATCGAAAACCGCGGTTTGTGTTTTTCTTTTTAAAAAACAGATCTTCTTGATCGTTTACGCAGCGGTAAAATCCAATGAAATTTCGCAGATATCTTCACTTATCGGTGGAAAGGTACTAACTGTTATATTTGTCTGTAATCAAAATTTACAATATCCTTCACGCCCGCAGGTCAAACTGGATCCCGTCGGAGATTATGCACTTCCAATAAGCCCTAACAGTAACGAAACGAGTTAAGTGTGTCATTGATATATGGTTGACTGGCTGAATTTTACGTGAAGATAGAATGTAAACGGCGGTCGGTCTAATTCAGTAGTTTAGCGTTTCCATTTATCAGTCAGCCACGAATTTTTGGCTAGCTTTGAATAACCAATGGCAGACAGAAGACATGAAGATAGTGCAGTTAGGGGTTTTGAGCGTAAATCGTGTGTTTATGTAACAGTTGCCTGTACCACTTGATCACCCAAAGAGCAAAGAAGGAATGAATACCCACACGAGGATGTTTGTGGAGCAGACGAAGTTATTTGTATTCGAAATCACTGTCACGAAACGTGCTTCTCGTTGCTAAGCTGGGTGTATGCGAAAACGCGAAACATGAAAGCGATACAGAACTTGCGTACTTCCAATGCTCTTGTAGGTAAACACAATTTTACTCTATTGAGGTTGCAACGACTTGACTGCCACGGCGCCGCCAAAATCGATTCACTTTCCCGCCCCTTCGTGTTTCAAATCAATGAATGAACAAGTCTTTTGAATATCAGATTGGTGGTGGGTTGTACTCCAGACGCTAATGCCAGCACGTTGCACTTTGTCATCCATAATTTAGCTTCGCAGTATTGAAGTTGATTATAACTTTCCTGACTATTGATTGCAATTATTTGTTTTTGTTTTCTTGCCTTGTCCAATTCACAAACACGGCTTGTGTTTTAAATATGAGACTTCAAATCCGAATGTATTTCTTTTCATTGGAAAAAATGAGCGATAGATCCTGCGATTTTCATTAAATTCTGCTAGGTTTACCTATTTAAATGTACTCGCGGTAGCAAGTACGTCGGAGGAACCGAGACACGATTGTCTACTAGGATAACAGCATGCACCGAAAAATTTGGTTTCTAACGCGTCCAAGCGCCCGACATACTGGATGGGCAAAGCATTTGACATACCTGGGGACGCTTTTCGTATCTTGATCCTCCAGAAAGGTAGCCGTCTATTTCGGTTCGCTGAAGCGACTGCCATTCGACGTTACAAGCCCGATTTATGTAAACAGATCGAATAAGTGGCTAGCCTCGCGCTGCCCCCGCTGGTAGATGTGTCACTGTCCTCCTCCCTCTCCCCCCCCCCCCCCCCCCCCNCCCCCCCCCACCCCCGCAGTGATTCCACTCCCTGTCCTAATGGCCAATCCGGTTCATATTAGTGATCTTTGGCCTTCGTATTGACTGATTTTTGTTCCCCGTGTGTGTTCGCCTGTCTCCAAACCTGTCACCAAACGTGAACCGAGTGTGATGTACACAGCTGATGAGATTACCAGGAAATAGGTGAATTCAACACATCCTGTGATCATGATGCTTCTTCTTGCTCCCATCAAAGTGTCCAAGGGAACTGGTTGCATTACTGATTGTATGGCGATTGTGAAAAGTTCAGTAGCCTCGGTGGGATTCGAACCCACGCATGGACGCCGCCTACGCTTTGTGCGCACACGCCCTACCAGCTGAGCTGCGAGGCCACACTGATAGCACTGATCTTACATTTGAATTATCCATCCAACTTACAGGGGTATATGGCATTCACCAGTTAGCATGTAAGCTGACTGCCCTGACAGGTTTTCCTTGGAATTCACCGGAGTTCACCAAATGAGCTTCTAAGACAAGGTTTAATTGTTCAGCAATTTAAACAATTGGCTGATTGTTTTGAAGAGTTGTAGCGAATCCCACCGTTCGTCAGAAATATCTTAAAATGCTTTTAATTGCTTTTCTCTAAAATCTTAGAATACTGTTCAAAGATCTGAGGTGTAACCGGAAAAGTGCACCATTTTGGTGCCTTACGTTTTAGGCAGTATCTTGGGTGCTGGTATCATATCCTTAGTTTACACAGTCGTTTACGACTCAGTTTCGTGCAGTGATTTCAATTGCTGTCTTTTGACTACCGCTTTAAATAAATGGAAGAAAGGATAAAGAATCCAGATATACTAAGGTTGCGTCGGAGATTGAAAAGACGCACCAGCCCCGTTGCTTACGACACTCACTTATATTACACAATGTCCCTAACCATCGATCAGGCTGATCTTGAAGTTCCCAATCGGAGGACCTAATGCTCATTACGTATCTCAGTCTCCCGGTCAGAAATATCATACCCTTATACTAGGTACCAGGTTTGCCACCTTTGAAATTGCCACTTACAGTTCTCCTCGGCAAAACTCTTATGATGTGAAAATCTACTTGGGGACATACATATCCCAAACAACGTAATCGACGGAGATGGAGTATTAGTTTTCATGAACTGCCGCGATCGCCTGAAGCTCTGCACCCAAACGCAGTATTGCTGGTCCTGTTTTCCAGCCAAACTTGTGCACAATGCGGTGTAGACAACGTTGTTCGAACGCCGATAGTCTATCTTTATTCTGCTCCTTTGACGACCAAGTCTCCGCAACTTAGAGCAGTGTCACTCGCATTGCTAAAGCCAGCACCCGACCCTTGACAGGCAGGTGAAATTCCCGATGATGCCATAGACCTTTCTAATTGGCGAATTTCACTCGAGCTTTGTGTATGCTTACCGACATTTCATCCACGATTCACCAACCAGATGTGATTTAGCGGACTAGGCAGTACAATTTGCTTACCTTATCGTTTTCCCAGTTCCGGCGAGTTCCAGAACTGGTCCAACCCAAACATGAAACGTTTTACACTTGAAAAATGCAAAGTGCGTGCTCAACATGGTTATGTTCTCAATCAAAAAGAACTGAAATTCTTGTACCTTTACTGCATCTTCACCCAGCAGTACGATATCGTCTTCCTGCACTAACTCATTCAATTTACCACCTGGAAGGATATCGGTGACAGTGCGTAACGGATTTGCTCATAGAGTCACATCTAGCGCCAGAGAGAGGATTCTCTAAACGTCCGGCAAAGCAGCAGAGGTTCAGGTGATCCATTGTTCGTGCTTTAATCCTGCGTCAGAATCCATTCTTTTGTCGAAATATAAGTAACGTCCTTAATTACGATCCAGTGTTCATCGCGTACTTTGATGGTTGTTTGAACTTGGAGGCGACGAGAGCATCCCGCTTCGAAGGCCGATCGGCAGTTGTCGCTTACACGTTTTGTGAGCATCAGTTTTCCAGGGCTGTATTGTGTTTTGCCTTACAAAACCATAAAGACCATCTAGGTGTCTTTGTGGCTTCTTCGGGGACTACCATAATGTACGTAGATAAATTCCTTTGGAGTATTCCAGAGAGATTTTGAAAACACGGTTATTCATTTCAGCTGCAGTGCAGTCATTTAGCGTGTTGCGCATGGACCGCTGTGAACTATCTAGGTGCACAACGACTAATCGTCTTTCGACTGCATTAAGCCATCAGTCTTTAAGCTTGGCGCAATCCTAACATCAGCATTACGGAGAAGGTTCGATTCCAAATCCTCTGGCACATTGGTGTTGAAACGCGAGGATGTGTTTGAGTTTGAAGAATTCAGTGTGATAAATAAAGTAGGGTCTTGAATGTGCGGTCGGGAGGTGCAGCAAACTACTGAAATAAAGGTTTTAGAGGTTCTAGTCAAACGGATAGTTGGTAGATCTGCAGGATTGTGTAAACAGTGTATGTGTTTGGGTAGCGTAACGTTCATATTATTACGTTATCTTGGGAAGTTTCGG